ACATGGCACACCCACTTCAATGTGAGCTGTATCCCAGTCAGATTTCTTTCTCTACATTATACTGAGAGGAGTTCTGGAAACTTGGCCTCATTGAATTTAGGCCACGATTGAGTCCAGGTCTCAGTCAACCTACCAAAGAAACATAAGGCCTTCCAAACTCTGCGTGCTAACACCAACCCTTGTAGGTGGCCCATGCAGATACAGTTGATCTAGCCAATGCTGCATCCTGCCCTCCTGTTCAGCTGCCCTGAGGTGCTATCACCATGTCAGGACATGAACAAAGTCTTGCAGTTCTGGTGGCGTATACCCAGTACCCCTCAGAGTCGATGTCTACACTCGTCTGCCCAGAGCATGCCTCTGTCCTTGGACTCAGAGGTCGAGGGCAGTAAGGGCTGGTTATACAGAATGGGGCCCGCTTGCAAAGAGCTGTCTCGGGTGAGGGTAGGACATGTCTTCCAGTGGTGGCCGGCTGATGAGGGTGTTCCTAGTGATGTGCAACCTACTGGAAAGTTCCTCAGCTTCTATGACAGAAGCATTCTTGAGCTGCTGTTCAAACAGTAAAGACTCAGAGCCCTGCTGACCAGTTTCCAGACCTAGGTTAGTTCCCAGACACAGTATCCTCGATTGAAGGGAGATCACTCTCTCATGAGGAATGATGGGTCCTACCACAAGAACAGAGTGGATCGGGACCATAAGTTAGTGCAATGGCAATGTCGCTGAACGCCCATGTAGTCGACCACGGTTCGAGTCCCGGACCCGGTGACTTAAACTCACGCTGGGCGCTTGTGCTTGCATGCCCAATATTCGGAGAGGAGAAGGGATTGTGGCATGGCCATCCCCCTAGGGGGGTGTCCTGTTTTTTATCTCAATGTCTCTCTCTGTCTTTCTGGCGAGTGCACGCACCCTATAGCAAAAAAAAAAAAAAAGAACTGAGTGGGTCTTCAAACCATCTGTTGCTTTTCTTTATGGGGAAAGAAAATACTCAGGTCTTTCAGGTGCTGAGAGAGACTAGTTCCAAGTCGGGGCTAAGCCCCAAACACAGTGGTCTTCTGGGCTAAGGAAGGTCTTATGGCCCAAGTCTGGCTCCTGGTGGGCTCACTGTGTATACACAGCCGGGTCTCTGGATGGAACATGTGAAGGAACGTACTCTGCAAATGGCAGAATCATCACAGTGGCTCTGACACATGGAGTGAGAACCCTTGAGATAGGAAGGTTGGTACCAGTAGAGGGTGTAATGGTCATGGTCCTGGACTCCCATGTGGTCGACTGTGGTTCGAGCCCTGGACCCGGAGGCTTGGGACTCATGCAGAGCAGGTGTATGTGCATGCCCAAGCAGAGAGTGGAGGAGATTGTGGAATGGCCAACCCCCCAGGGGTGATTTCTCACTGTCTGTCTGTCCAGTGAGCGCATCCGCCCTATAGCAACGATCTCTCTCTTAAGAAGAGGACAGGAAGGTCCAAGCAGAATACACTAGAACGTTCCCTCTTGGCCAGGATGACAAATCAGACACAGACCATAGCCCTGAGGGGAAGTGCAGACAGTAGTGTTGCCATATGGACTGAAAAGGGCAGGGCAGTGATGCCCACCACAGGCCCATCCGACTCACCTGCCTGTGCGGAGGCAGAGGACCTGGAGCATGCCCGTCATGATCAGGCCACAGCTAAGGGAGGCTGCTGACGTGTTATCTGTTTCTGCTTTTTAAAATTTTGCTGTAGGGCACTTGTGTTCCTCAGAGAGAGGCAGAGAGAGAGGGGAAGTGAGAAAACACCCCCTAGGGGGATGGTCATGATGCAATCCCCTCTCCTCCGCATTTCCTGCTTCTGGGATTTGGGGCGTACATGCACACGCACCTGGTGTTTTTCAAGCCTCCAGGTCTGGGACTCTTAAGTGCACAGTAAGCCATGTGGGATCCAGCCACTTTAACCACCAGGTCTCTGGCCAGCCCCAGTTATAGTAACTGAACAAGTGTGGTATCCTCAGCTGTATTGGGATCCACCAAGACTCCCCATATCCCACCTCACAGCCCCCTCATTGCCCTGAGTTGTTACCCGGCATGGTCCTCGGCCTCCCAGGGCACTGGCCTCAGTTGACATGTCACCTCCAGCAGGACAGGTGAGGTTTACACTATGCCACTGCAAACCGTGGATTCCACGTGCCCCTCCTATTGGCGAGGAGCTCGGCCCTGCATTCCAGACCCAGTCAGAACCAAATCAGCCGGAATCCCATCTTCGTGGGTCTGTTTCTTGGGACTCTTCTTAGAAGCACGTACCACATGAGCTGGGACCCAGTCACAAAACAGAAACCACACTGGCTGTTTCCAACAGTGGGGTGATAGGTTAGGAACCCGATTACACGGGTCTGCTGGGGAGGGGAGGCTGACAGTTAGTAGATGATAAATGCTTGTGGAATGAGTGAGAGACAGGGTGGACGTGCAGAGAGCACAAGTGTGATGTTGCAGAAACAGCGGGTTAATGCCAGCCTCCCCTGGGGTTGGGGAACGCACAGGAGGGCTCGAAGTAAG